TACAAAAAATACACTTTATTATTCTCCTCATGTATTTTGCATTCAGGAATCTGTTCGCTGTTATGGACGTGTCGGAAATACTGAAAAACAAAAGTGGCCCTGATTTAGACTTTCAAACCTTCCCTTCCATGATTAGATTTGACTTACTGAAGGTGTGGAAGGAAATAATCCTGTTGTTCATTTAATTCATAAAGTTTCAAAACAAGAAGAGAAGCAGCTTTCAAAATTGGCCAATCCAGCTATTCGAATGTTTTCCTACAAAAAAACAAATAAAAATAACACTCAGAAAATATCCCCCCAAAAAATCTGTAGCAATCATTAAAAAGATACGAGGCAAACTTTGACAAATGTATCTTCTTTGCAATTTCTGTGTGATTAGACCTAAAGATTTATATATATTTTTTGTAGCAATTACTTAGATTTTTCGCAAAAATTACAATTCTTCAATGTCTACTGAATAAACAATCCAAAGAAAAAACAGTGGAAAACCAGTGAAGGAAAAAATAATAATAATCAACTGGGGAATGAATTGCATCAGTGTGAATGTGTTGCTTCTGCTGCTTCTGCTGCTAACTGTGCTGAATCAGGTATATATTACTTCCCTCTCTGCAAAGTCTGATATTTTTCCCCTCAGTTTCAGACTGAATCTGCCCAAATCTCCGTGGCTGACCAAGCAGACCAATGCAGGAGAAATGGCACTAAATGATGGCAAACGCTGAACAGATTTGACTCTAATTGTGATTGTTGGCTGAAAGGGGTCACGGTTCAGATCTGTGAATGTAATGCACGATGATTAGCCCTGCATGCTATTGCGTGTAATGTTACTGTGATATTGTTGCCGCCTGTGACATGAGCTGTAATTTGGAGGCTGTAATGCTGCGTGGGCAGACGCTCATTGATAGCATTTGGCGCACAGCCTTGCTTGGGTGAAGCACTTATTAGCAAAGCCAGTCAATCTAAACATCGCAGACAGTGCCCTGAGTCAATGGGAGTGTGTTTGTTAGCTGAGCATGCTGTATAATAATCAGTACGTCCCGAGCAATCTAATGAACAGCCATCATAAGACGTTTTTTACATAATCCTGCCATCTAAGATTACCTTAATGCTTGTAAAAGCTCGCTGCCGATGTGTGCCTCATTACCTTGGGACATTGGTCATTTCATTTCAAGGGTTTGATTTTCATTAACTGCTCTACCCCCCCTACCCATTAGCAGAATGAAAGCTCGACTGCAACCATCTGGCTGCCAACTAGACCTCAGGGCTGCTTTATGGCTCCATCGAGCTTCACCGAGGAGAAGGTTGCACTATTAGAGGTTTTTTTTTCCTTCTTCTTTTTCTTAGTCAGGCCACGGGAAGTTATGGGAGTGATGCAAAGAAGCGATGTCCACATTTGGGAATGTGGGAAGGAAAAGGGAGGATGGGGGAACTGAGATAATTTTAGGGAAAAAAAAGAGAGGGGGAGAGAGAGACAATTGGCACAGCAACAGAGGAGAGGCAAAGTGAAACAAAGTCAAATAGAACCTGAGAGAAATGTCAACACAAGGAAGGAAAAAAAGAAGGCAGAGAGAGAAAAAAAGGGAAAATAGTGTAAGAAAAGAAAAGGGCTACATGTAATGGAAATGAAATTCATAATATTTCCGGAATAAGATTTGTGTTTTTTCCAGGCTGCTGATTCCCAGAGGTGTGACGGGGGAGGGGGGTTTGGGGGGAGGAGGGCTGACAGATGATAACCCATCCTGTATAGCTTATGGTAGAGTAAAACAGGTGTACATTTTTATTGCTTCCAATGGACACATTTTATTTTTAGAATTAGTGGTCTTCTTTTTGAAATAGCACCTGCTTACACATGCATATTTTAGTCTCTCCTATGCAGGCGGGCTCCTGCTCTCCTCCGGTGCTTTTATTCTCCAGTCCTGCCTTAAGCATGTCTCTTGCCCCTGAAACGCTTTTCATTTTCACAATGTCTTTGAATGCCTTGCAAAACTGCCCGTGAATACGGGCTGGCCAACTCCAACTCGCTTTGTTTGAGTGCAAGAAGGCAACAGAGAAGCAGTCCTGGGGAAAAATACATAATACAGTTTGCTTCTCATTTCTCTCCACAGAAGTAATATTGAAATAGTGTTAATGCTTGAATTGAGCAGAAGTTACCGACAAGGTGAAAAGTGTGCAGGGACCCATTATTTTACTGGTTAGATTAAACCTTTTTTTTTTCTAACATAACAGCACAAGGTGACCTACATTAGCAGAAGTGGTCCAATGACAAACATGCTATATTAATAATATATCTAACATTCGCATCACAGAGGATGAAAACAGATTTCATCAAGCTCGTTTAACTTTACGCACATTTCATTTTCGTCATGCTTCTTAACGAACGAAAGGCTTGTTACAACATTTGGAGACCAGTAATTCACGCTTCATTTAGTTTTCCAACATGCTCACACTTAACATGGAGGTCAGAGGTGGACCCACAGCATGTACCAATCACTGACCTTCGGTGCTTGTAGGAGTTTTTTTTTTTCCCTTGCAGCAGTCTGACACAGTTCTGCCCACACAAGCCAATAAGCTCATCCTGTTAACGGTTTTTAAGGAACGGGCATTTGATGCTAGATTCGAGCATTGCTAGAGCAGTTTTAGATGATTACATGTTTTAAAAAGAAGAGAAAAAAAAACTTTTCTTTCTTTCCCACACTGCTGCATCTCTTGTCGTGCTTTTCTTGAAATGATTTCTTTTTTTCCCCCCCTTTTACAGCCTTAGTCTTTTGAGGCTATGCTCCGAAATTGCAGCGTACACACTATTTGTTTGCCAAACCATCTCGAAAAGAATCTTTCTACAAATGTATTATACAATAGTCATGCGGATAACACGAGCTCAGACTGCTAATGTTTGAGGCAGTTCAGGAGCCTGATGTTGTTGAAGGCACAGTCCTCTCATCTCCAGTCCTAAACACAATATCTGGCCCCTTGCAAAGGCTTCATATCATTTAAAAAAGGTTCAGGTTTTGTCACGTTGCAAAAACAAAATTCAATTTACTTGCATGCAACACAAAGGGCATCATGACTATGAAGTATGTGTAAAATAATACATGATTTCCTAACTGAAAATGTTGGTGTGGATTTCTATGCAGCCCACCGCATTCTGACTCCTAAATAACATCAAATTTGGTGTACGCTTTTAGAGGTCACTCAGTTAGTAAACAGTCTCTAACTCCGTGAAACCTAAACTCGGTATATAAAACTTCAGCCCATAGATGTTCTGGCAAAAGCCTAACTCAAAAGACTTGCAGCTAGAACTGCAGCAAAAACATAGACTAACGGGCCAAACACAATTATTTTCTCATTTTTACTTCTATAAGACTTGCATGTGAATGAAAATTGAAAATCATAAATGATTTTTTCAGTTCCCAATTATGTGCTACGCTGTGTCACGTAAAATCCTAATAAAAAGTACACAGGTTTGCGATTGTAGTCCAGGTTGCCGTTTATTCCCCCCTCTAGTTGTTCATTACATGATACTCAGACTCTGGCTGCTGGCGTGCCCGCTGTATTTTACAGGTTTACTCACAGTCCACCGATTTAACAACACCACTTTATTCATTAGAAGGCAGCGGCCACATACAGCTCCGTGGCAAACTGTTACAGTCCTGAGACATAAACCAAATGTGAAATGGGGGACAGAAAAGTGACCTAACAGACATGGTTATTTCCAGCACCTGAGGAATGTCTCACTGTGGGGCTTATCACGCACAGCGTGGTCTACGCTTTACTGAGAATTGAACTATAGAGACATAGAAGAAAAAAAAATCGACTCAGCCGCTCTCCTGGCTTCTGTGTAGTTCAGAGGTGAAATAAATAGTCATCATTGTATGTGATAAATTTAGGGTTAGAAATGAAAAAAAAAAAAAAAGAAAAAAGAAATTCAATTTAACGCTGGTGTGGACAACAGTGCATAGCATACAAGAATATAACTGGACTTCGCCAGGATCAATATCGGATTTCTTGGCAGAATCTTTTGTTTAACCCCCACCTTTTTTTTTCTATTGAACATGTCCAAGCCCTCCTACTGCATCTTAAAGCAGTGACTGTATACAGTATACAGTAGCACAGCGAAAGGTCCTATTAACACAACAATGATCACAGCCTGTTCTGCAACACAATTTAAATAAAAAATGTCATAGTCCTATTAGAAGACATGTGCAGACTGGACTATTTTCTTTAAAGATATTATCCAGCTGTGATTTTTTTTTTTTAGTTTTGCTGAAAAATGTACACTGACAGTAAACACACAGGCTGCAAATCTAACTTGATTACACCAGTACTTTTCCCCAGAAGAACGGGTCAAAATTGCAAAAGACTGCTGCGAGAAGCTTGTTGGGTGATGCCAAAAAAAGACATTCTACTCAAGTCAAAGGCAAACCTTTGAGCTTCAAGAAAGTAAAGGAAATGGTACCAATAATAATAATAAAACAGATTAATTGGCATTCAGTAAATACAACTTTGGTGATTCTAACTGATGTGAGTTAGATGTCATGTCGGATATTGAGGAAAACTGGTTCCGTCTCAAACTTGATCTCAAACGCATGCATAAGACTGCTTTTGCATGAAAAGCTCCCAAAACAGACAAACAAACAAAAACTTACTTTGGTTGCTTTTGCTCTACTTGATTATAACTGTATGATTAAAAGCAGATTGAAATAAGAAAAAAAAATCGTTTTGCTTGATCACATTAAACAGCAGAGTTAAGAAACAGGGCGGAATGTTTGTTTTTTAAATTTTAACTCCTCTGACTAAGTTGTTGGAGGCGGTTCCTTTCGCAGACGCTAGGAGCTGTCCGCGGTGCTGAACTGCCTCCTCTCTCTCTCTCTCTCTCTCTCTCTCTCTCTCTCTCTCTCTCTCTCTCTCTCTGTCTCTCTCTCTCTCTCTCTCTCTCTCTCTCTCTCTCTCTCTCTCTCTCTCTCTCTGTCTCTCTCTGTCTCTCTCTCTCTCTCTCTCTCTCTCTCTCTGTGCCGACAGCTCCCACAGCCAGGAATCCGCTCACCGCTCGTCCAAATTAAAACGGGACCTCCGCGATCCACTTGATTATTCCCGACCCTCTTCACTCAGCGAATTATTCCAGGAAGCAGAACGGCTTTTGCAAATCCTCGCCTTGCTCATATTTACATATATAGATTTTATTTCTCTCTCTCTCTATCGTCCGCCGGCCACTGGAAGTACCTCTGTTATTGTTTTTTTATTTTTTTTTTCTCTTTTTTTATTTTTTTATTTTTTGCAACACACGGACGCTCAGTTTCACGCCGGGAAGGGAAGACAAACCTCGCCGACATGTGCATGAGACGCTGCTGCCAGTTTCAGACTCTCCTCGCCGTTTTGGCTCTCGCCGCTGTCGCCGCTCAAATCCACGGGGAAGGTAAGAACTTGGCTTTAATAGCTCGCACTTTTTTTTTGCGAAGGTCTCTGCGATGAGAGGTGGTGGGGGGGGAACAACAACAACAAGCTCAGTGCTTGGACAGGAGCATCCGGTTCACCACGTCCGGATCTACAAGTGCGCATGTTAGACGTCCAAGACTTTAATATAGTATCTTTTAAAAAAGTGACTGCCTTCCCAATCTGAAGCGCCACTTGCAACATTTGAAATGTTATAATGAGTCCCGCGGCTCTCGGGATGCGCCCAGTTACAAGTTATGGATCCCTCACATTCTGCCGGAGGGTAGAATGAGTTCAGCACTCGGTTACATAACAGTAATAGCCTACTGTTAATCACAAGTATGAAAACAGCCCCAGGGGGGAGGAAGAGGAGGGGGGGGAGGGGGGGGACTTAGTAAGACTCTCACAAAGCCAACACCACCATGGTAATGTAACGATCACCTCGCCGCGCGTTTTACGTGTTCGTCTCTCCCTTTGAAAGCGCAGCCAGGAAGTGACTTTGTTTGGCTGCTCAGGGTCCAACTTGACAGACGGCGCTCCTTAATAAGACTCTAATCCTCTGGAATTGCAGAAGATTATTGACCAAGCTGTTTTACGCAGTCGAGTGGGGAAGCGGCAACAGATTCGCGCGCGGTAGTTTTGTCCTAATTATTTCCCACTGGTCCGAATCCGCTTCCACTCTTCATCAGTGTAACTATGTTTTGCTTTTTTTTTTGCCCCATCTGTGTTTCTGCCTATCACCATGCTTCAGTCGACGGGATTTCCATAATGCGCTTTGTAAAGTATCAGCACAGATTGACTTTGAGTCAAAACAAACCAGCATTTCAGCGTTGAAAAAAACTTGAAAACAAAGTGAAACGTGACAAAAAAAGACAAATCTGTTTGATAGAGGGCAGTTTCTTAACTCTGACTTATTTTTTTACTACAACTTACAGATCGAGCTCCACGCATAATAATTACATTTCGTCTATTGAAATGTACTCACTGATCTGTACATAAGCGAGCATTATAGGAATAGAGACTTTTAAAACGTGACAAGCCTGAGTGTAAATTTTAAGGTCTCATAATATATATATATATATATATATATATATATATATATATATATATATATATATATATATATATATATATATATATATATATATATATATATATAAAGAACCTTGATTCAAAACATTCAAATTAAAATACAATTATTTCCACTGCTGCAATTCGGATGTATTCATTATTACAGTGATTTTAACACACATTTTTGTGTCCTTTCAGTTTTCACAAGAACAAAAAAAAGAAAAATAATATTTAAAAAACCTTATTTCAGTCACCTGACAGGCAGTGCACAGCAACAGGTGCCGGAGGAGCTGCAGATGGAGAAAACTCCAGTCATGCTGATTGTTTCTCATTTATGGACTTTAAAACATGGGAGTAACATGCAACTATCACTTCTTAAAACCCTAGAATAGGTTCATAAAGGTTACCAACACACGTTCCCAATAAAATGTTGACTCCTCAAACTATCATGAGCTGCAATTTCATGGCAGCCTAAGATAATATTTGGTTCTCTAAATAGAACGCCACTTAAGTGAGTAGATGGTGGAGTGGAGTCGGGGCTGCATTGATGCAGAATAGACTTCCAGAGGCGTAGGCAGGCAAATCAAGTTATTTAGGGTAGAAGCAAACACACAGAGAAGGGATTTAAATAGTTTAAATGTCGATTAACTTGTTCGAACAAACACAGGCTCAGCAGCGGAATGCCGTACAGCACTGCGAGGTAGAAGGCTGCAGAGACAGGAGCACAGACAAATGCACAACCTATCATTTTTTTGGAGCAAAATAATATCTAACTGTGTTCCATTAGTGAACTCTGGGCTGATGCTTAGTAAACAATCACTCACACTTTGATAAACTCTCTGAAGTGGGCATTTTAATTTTTGGACCCACAGGGTTTGATGATTTATCACTGTCAAAAGGTCTTAATGGAAATACTCATCTGCATGAATAATTAGCGTTTCAACTCAGAATAGGCACTAATTTCTCATTTGGGCTCCTTGTTGTTATAAACTTGCTTTCAGTCTGTTACCCAGCAGGGAATACAGACACTGACTGACTGACTGTCTGATATTTTTGGAGGGGTTGTGGGCCAGGCGATACGGGATCACTTTTTTACACCGGCATGCTGTACTCTCACGTTATGTTGTTAAGAAAAATACAATGCAAACTGAGTAATTTTCACTAATTTCACAATTAATCATTTGCTTAATAAAATGATAGGCAATTGATGTTCTGTGGCTGACAGGATATTTGCATATTTTTCAATATGTCGGATTAGACCGACGTGTGAGAATTTGTCATAAAACACAGACTTCTGTCGGAAAGAGGGTCTTTATGAAGACGGCAATATTTTCTCTGCTTTTAGAGGTCATTAACATTTTCATCCAGTATTTCTTTTTTTTATGCTTAAGGAAAGTAAGAAAAACTGAGCAAACCTGTCATAATTTCCAGTCCTGCCTGTAATATTCAGGAAAACTCTCATCGAACTTGAACAAACAAACCAGATCCCACTTATTCCTCATGTTCCTGCTGTGGTTAATTCATCAGTAGGAAAACAATTCAACAGGTTTTCATTTTTGTTGGATGTTTTTCTTTTGTAAAAAAAAAAAAAAAAATAAAGAAAATAAAATAAATAAATAGTTTAATTGTATTCGTAATTCTAAATTTGTATTCAAGCATGACTGGATTGCACGATTCTATGCCTTTCAGCAGGAATTGCCATTTATTTCTTCCTTCCACTCTGATATGTGTTGCATGGAAATGGCAGTGTGGCTCCATCATGTTTCTGGAAGCTTTTTGCACATCCTCTTGTGCCTAAGCATATATTGTCTCTTGTGTGTGTCGAAAATATTAAAATGTACAAATCTTTGATACAGTGGAAATAATATAACAGCATGTTAGTAATGGCAAAAATGCGCAGGGTATATTTTCTGGCATACAATTTGTTCCATAAGAGTGGGAGATGTGTCAGAGGGGACATGAAGCGAGTTGGAGGATGCAGAGGATGGAACTGAATGGAGACGGATGGTTCGCTGTGGCGACATCTGAAGGGAAAAGTCAAAAGTGAAGAAGAAAGATAATTTTTCAGCATCAATTTGTAAACAAAATTTTTTTAAAAAGCATAATTTATATGCATTATGATATGTCATGCCAATTTTGATTTATGAACTGTAGAAGTAGCAGTCAATACATGTTTGATTTTGATTTTGTTTTTTTATGAAAATGCCAATTTACACATCATTCTCAGTTGGCAAATTCACACTGATATGCCTATAAGCTTGAATTTAAAGAGGTTAAAGTAAACAGCCTTGCACAGAATGGACGGACAGGAACTTGGCAAACACCTAAATTAAAAATACGGAGACAAACATAGATATATCTGCATCCTTTCAGAGGGCAAACTATTTTGTTAATGGATAAATCTGAAGACCTTCGGCTTCGACTGCTGCCTTCATGCATAAAAAATGTGTTTACCTGTTAACTAAGGCATGTAGTGATGTGGGGATTTAGATGAAGCCTTTCTTTGTGTCCTAGATTTCTCCTTGACATGTGAGAATGTAAAATATGAGTTCAATAAATCTTTACTGTTTCAAACCTTTATGATATGTGATGAATTTCTTATAAGGAAGGACAGCACAGACCGACATATATGACCTCACTGGTAGTCGGCTTTGGGTAATCCTATGTTAATCCTCTAACAGTCCTTAAATTTGACTTTAAAAATGTGATGAGTTTGATTGTAATGCTATTAGGACTTTTGTAAATGTAGAAAATCTGTATAAATTTAGCATCAGACTAATGTTGGAAGAGGTGTATAAAACACATGCATACCAAAGACCATTGCAAAGCTGAATTGAGAAAGGATGGAGAGAATTTCTGGTGTATTTCTGACACCTGTTACCACCTCATGAAGGTCCTTTTGTTCCCATGTATGAACGCCTCTTTAGAGATGATTTTCATTAGCATGGCAGGCTAAAGCGATAGCTTACAGTCTTCCTTTATTGAGGCTCCACCAACGTTAAAAAGATCTGCCAGAATGATTCTTCCTGTCGTTTTGATTGCTGCTTTGAGCCATCTCCTGGAAAAATCCGAACATCCCATAATTTCAGGGGAGGCAACACAAATCACTCAACACCTGTTTGTCGGATTGCCAGTTATTAACTTCATCAAGGGCTATTCAGCATCTGTGTGCCGTCATAATTAGTTTAACTTTCCCAAGGCCTGTCAATGGTAAATGAGAGTCATTATGCCAGAATGCCCCTCTTCAAGGCTTGGCGTCTGCCTGCCTCAGCCCCTCTCTGTGCCTGTCTCGGTCCCTTTCACTGCCTCCTAGGTGGAGCTCACAGCTTGGCTGAATGCGACTCATTTTCAACTCTTCATGTGCAAATGTCTCTCCCGCTCTGCGAGAATGGTCTATGCATTCTAATTTGACTCATTGCCTCATAAATTTTCCCCCTCAAAAGTGTTTGCCGCTGTATTTGCCAAGGAGAATCTATTTTTGGGGAGGATCTTTCCGGATCTTTATCGTTGCTTTGCTGTGATTGTTACTTCATAAGCGTAGAATAGAAGCCTCGGTGTACTTACCAAATTAGGCTGTACCTCAAGTCTTTACAGAGGACACAGTTCAGGTCTAAAATTCAAATGCTTCACTATGGACATAATTTGTCCCGTCCCCCCCCCCATCATCTTGGTCGATGCATGCATAATGAAATCAGATATTTGACCTGTGGCAAATACAATTCCAGCTGCTTTGGAATATGGATAAAGCTTAGAAAATATAATCTTCACCTATTCATAGATGCTTTGCTTGAATATCATATTATTCTACAACAAGATTTCTGTCCTAGTGACCAGACAGTTGCACATTTAGAAGGTCATTACAGAAGCAACTATAAGAACTATAAACTCTTGCAAAAACATTCATACCACTTT